CGGTGATGCCATAGTGGTACTTCAATGCATCTCTCCACAATGCTCCCAGTAAGTCTACACGAAAAGCTCCTGCGTGTGCAGTCAGAACTTATCATGTTTGCAGCGCGGGGTATGTAAACACCTTATACAGTCGAACTGCCAGGTGCCAGCTTGCACGTTCAAGTCCCTTCAGCAAGAAATGGCGGACCATTTCTGTCTTGGGAAATTGGACGTAGAAGGGGCTGCGCTTGGGTTGCATCTTTTATGTGTGGACAGCAACGGTGTGATCTCTTGGACGGCATTTCTAGCTGTCTTTGTGCATCCATAAGGAAGTTTTGGCATTGCGTTCAGCGGCTGCAGCTCCTCCGCTGCTGGTACTGGAAAGTTCCTTATCTTAGCGTTGCGTTTGGAGCATTGCTGCGACGAAAATAAAGGAAAGTTCGTGGATGATATTGACGAGCATTACACTGACTGCGCAAAATAATTGGCCAATTGTTAGTTGCCGCGGACTTGCTGAACATCAAGGGGGCCACACTTCTTGCATTTTGGATGCAGCAGATTTCGATACGTGTCTTGCGAAGTGACAGCTGTAATGGTAAGAGCTGCAGCTTGAGATGTTGGTTTAGTAAGGAACGACATGCAGCAGCCTTGGCAGCGATCCGCAAGCTATTGCGGGCTGCAGGCTACGGCTCTTGGATGCTGTTCAAACTTTGCGGGAGTCTTAAGCTTGTTTGGAGCGGCGGACTTTCTGTGAACGAGGCACGGCATCTTCGATCCTCTGCTGTTCTGTGCTCGTAAACTCCGTGGTACCGAGCTTCACTGCGACAATTGCAAGCAGAGGGCAGCCGAAACTTGTCTTACAGAGAACAGGCAGCATGAGTGGTTTCAGCAAGCCATATGAAGATAGCTTACGATCCTCTAAAAGGCGATTGGTATCAAGAGATTCGCTGCATGCACGAGTTGTTGCCTCACTGTTTGTTATTAAGGTCTAGTTGATTTCGTTTCTGAGGAGCTGCGACGCCTCAAGCGTGTCCCGCCTTGGTAAAAAGGGCTTGGGCTCTCCATCTTCGGGAGTCTTTGTTCGTGCTGTTGTTCTAGATGTTGGTGACTTTGATGTTGTTGCTGTTTCGAGGAGACCTTATGCGCAGTCGCGCACCAGTCGGCAGAGCTGGTGCAGGCGGCCGGTGCGGAGGCCGCGCGGACCGTTCAGGTCGCCGGCAGGGCTGTGTCAGCAGTGGTGCTCGTCATCAACTGCGCGTATTCTTGTTTGCTGACGCCTCTGCGGGATTACTTGGTCAAGTTGCCGCTCGTGTGCAGTTGGCACTGCGGTCCGTCATGCGCGAGCGGCCTGTTGGGCCTCTCGGGCCGACGCCTTGCTCAAGCGAGACCGCCCTTTCGCCCTTCGACTTGTTCAGGGTTTTTTTTATACGCGGACCTTCTACCAGCAGCACCTAGTCCTACGGAGGCGCTCCTGCCAGGGCACTACGGGCACTAATGGGGCCCCTGGCGGCTGCCGATTAATACCGGAAGCTGCCAGTGCACGTCGGCGAGGACCTCGTGCAGCTCGGGCGCCCTCTCCGGCGACATTGCACTCACCAGCAAGCGGGAGCTCCAACAGGGATGCGGCGAGGGCGCGCTGTGCAGCTGGGGCGAGCAACCCGGACCAACGGGCAACCCACGCCGCGCGCGCTGCCGCCCGCATGGCTGCCTGCACTTCCGAGGCACGCTGCCTGGCGAGCAACCGGAGCCAGGTGGCCGCCTCGGCGCCAAACCGGCCTCCAACCTCGACACCGACGACCACCAAGCGGCAGCGGCGAGCGCGCACGAGCTCGGGGTAGGTGTGGTGGCGTATTCGGCCGGGGTGCACGTCTGCAGCCTGCGTCACGGGGCTGACGATGGTGGCACCAACAGCCTGCTGCGCGCCATGCCACAGGGACAGCCCGTGGACACAGCATGCGAGTTGTGGAGAAGAGCCGCGTCCGCTCGTCCAAGGCCAGCCACAGCTTGACAACACTCGTGGCTGGCAGCGTGCCGCGTCCCAGGCCGTCGACCGCTTCTGCCTGCCAGCTTTGTTGCGAGAACTGGATGCCTCCTCCGCCGCCCTGCTTGACTCACAGACAGGACTGTTCGCGGCCCGCATGTTCACCGCACGGCCCACCTCGCCTCAACCCAACCTGGAATCCCCGCTGTTGCGAGCTCTCTAGCTGCGTCGGCTCCGCCTGCCAATGGGTCTCACGTTTAAGGCGCCGCCGCGCCCAGCACCAGTAGCCCTTGCTGGTCCGCCGGCAAGGACCAAGCGCTTTTCTTCTTCCGACTGCCCACAGTGGATCCCAGTCCCACATACGGTTGCATCGCAGCGCCGAGGGATGCGCGCGGCCGGATAGCGTGGGCAAGCGGCTGGCGAGGACATCCTCCTGCCACCAAGCATCAGCGAGGTCCTCGTGTAGGTCTCGCTCAGTGACCAAGCTCGGGGAGCCCAAGTAACGAAGTGGCATACGTTCGCTGCCGGCTACAGCCAACAGGCCTGACCATCGCGCAACCCAGGCGTTGATGGCTGACGGGCGGAGGTGAACGGGGACAGCCTCAGCTCGCTGGCACGCCGGCGCCGAAAGCCGGAGCAATTGGGCATCCTCACGACCGAACCTGCCGCCTACGTCGACGCCGACTACCACGAGGCGGCAGCTGGCGGCCCTGTCGAGCTCTGGGTAGGTGTCGTGGCACTTGCGCCTGGCAGCAGCGTCAACTGAATGACCCCGACGCGTAATTGGCGAGACGATGGTGGGATCGAGCGGGAGCTGGGAACAATGCTGCAAAGGGAAGCCGTTCGTCACCGACGGGCGCGTCGAGGTTAAACCGGTATACGCCTGGAGGATTCATGCGTCCGAAACTACCTCACGCTACGACCCACAGCTGCCGGCGACCCGGACTAGACGCTGCACAAAGGCAGCCGGCTCGGCCCCGCGGCCTCTGCGAGGTCCACGCCTTGGCTTTGGCTCGCGTGGGTCGGTGCGGGCCAAGCCGACCCCAGTGCCGTGCTTGTCACAGCTTGCTGCACGGAGACCGAGAGCACAGCCACCAGCCCCGGGGCTGCTCGGAAGAGTCACCAAGGACATCGCTGAAGAGCGGTAGGTCTCCATCAACGTTGGCGGTGCCGGACAAGGGCAGGGAAAGGAGGCTGGCGGCGAAGGTCTGCGCGGCTGCAAAAGCCAGGGGTGCAGAGGGCAGTGCACGCCGCCTGCTGTGCAGGAGGAGCGGCACGGGCCCTGCTTCGGGCAAGGAGTCTGACAAACTCAGCACGAGCTCTGAGTACGTCCGGGCAGTGGCACGTTCCGCGACACGTTGAGCGGCCCCAGCGGTGCGGCCACTGTGTTGGCGTGGCATGCCAGCAGCTGTGAGGAGCGACACAAGGGCAAGCCGTTCGCGAGGGCTTTTATGCGTCCCTCGTCCTGGCGGACGCACCACATTGAGATCACGACAGTAGCGCGCACCTCGCGGCAAACTCTGGCAGCCGCACGCTCAAGCGGGCTTTAACGCGACCGCAACACACCAGACCGTCGGCAACGGCAAGGTGATCTCCGAAAGCATCACGCGACACCGGCATCTCGCAGCAGCGCCTGCCCGCGTGGGCCTGCAGCGCACGTACCTGCTTCGGATGCTTCCGCCTGAGCACAATGCTGCTGTGTGTGCATGCCTAGCGGCCTAGCGATCCTGCTGTCGCAGGATTCCCTGCCCCCAGCCGGAAAAAACGTTCGAACAAAAAAAGAAACACAGAGACCTCGTTTGGCGCAGTCCGAGATCTTCCCGCGAACTTGAGCAGGCTTTTCGGAGAAAACACTCAGAAGCTGGATCGGCGCCTTGAGCTCTTCCGCATCGCCAGTGAATGCCACCCTCACCTTCCTGTCGGTCCACGCGGTGGGCGCTCTGGACCATGCTTCATGCCCACCGCGTCGCCAGACCCCACTCGAGCTGTACCCCCACCGTCCCCTCCACGTCAGTCGCCGTGTCTTTGCCCTCTGCTCACCTCCGGCGAGGAACACTCGATCTTTCGGCGGCTGCGGCTGCCGCCCCCCCCGAGCGCAAGACTGACGTTGTGTGCTACTCGCGTGCCGACGCGGGCGACTGCATGCTCGAGCGGGAAAGCTCTCGACGCTAACAGCTGGGCGCCGACACCTGCCCAGGAGAAAACAGCAGTTGCGGGATGTGTCATGCGAACTCCGCAGATGCTGTGTTTCATTGATTTTTATCAGACATATTGTATGTTATCCTTTTGGGGTGCTTTTGGATCTTGAGTTTGTTCGACAGTTTTCGACGTTTTGATTTTCGAGATTTCGTTTGTCGCTGACAAGTTAATGTTTTATTTTTTTTGCGATTTTTCAGCATTTCACTTGTTGCTTGCTATGTTTATCAACAGTTCGAGGCCATGCTTAGCTGATCGAAGCCATTGGACATGTGCAGGAGACTTCGACTGTTCGTCCTTCGTGTTTACAGTTTTTGGGTGCAAGATTTTTATCCTATGCCAGTTTTCGACTTGTTTCATTTCGGCTTCTTGCGTGCCGTTTGGTATCTTCCATTTGTCGTCCTCGAGCTGCGGGCCTGCTGTGTCTGCTGTGTCACAAGAACCAGGCAATTTGACGAAGTTCGCACAACCTCAAGCTTGAGCTGCCCTGAGCAGACATCCCCATTGGCACAGCACCATGCAACTTCGGCAGGACACATGTTGACAGCGTGTGGAGGTGACCTTGTGCCGTCCGCAGATGTTTTCATTAACCAGAACTTGCAACCACAACAGAACAATCTTTGCATTCTGCATTAACGATACCCTTGCTTTCCTTCGGTCAGATCTACAGTGTGTATATTGCCCAGTCTGCAGCATCAAAACCTTGGCGTGATGCGATGAACCAAGATGCTGGATTGGAGCTTCCGCAGGCCGGGGCGAGTCCGGCATCCTTGACAGGAAGCAGCTCGCACATCAAGTCGAGACAACGTCGCCTTGAGCTTCCTGCCCCCAACCTATGTTGCAGGAAAGCGTGATTGCAGCGGCTTCCGCAGCCAGATCCTCGAAGATTCTTTCGCCGATATTGCTGCATTTGGTTCGTACACCAAGGCTACGTTGCTTCGAGTCAAGGGCTACTGTGTGGGACTGATGGTCGAGCTGCCTGCAATGATGCAGGGCGATTGCCCAATCCTTTCGATCTGGTCCGCGATCCGAGGTGTGCTGCAAAAGTGGGTGTCGGGCTGCCTCGTGGAGAAAGCGCAGGCATTCAACAAGCCAAGTGGTCGTGGAGCTGTAGGATCGTTGTTGAGGGCAGCTTAGGGTTGACGGACATGGAAAACAAATCCGCGAGCACACTGACCTCTGACCCGAGGCAGCGGCCTCAAGCGAGGTGTTTCGGCTTCCCAACAAGATTGTGGCCGATGGATTGCTGGGAACGGACTTCGGCCTGGTTGAGCTTCGGGTTTTACAGGCCTTGGTGTCCGATCTCGACAGAGGCACAAGACACTCCAGTAACAGTAACATGGCTTGTTCACGGTCGCAGGAACGCTCGACACAATTTGTCGATGGCCTGCTGCTTGGCACACTGTCGCAACTCTCCACGCAGCTGTATGGCCTCAGCGATAGCATCACCCACTGTATGGATACTGCTTGTGGATTTTGCCAGCAAGTGTCGGCCATTCTGTTCAGGCAGGGTGCGGCCGGCATGTCAGGAGAGATTTCGGGCCTGTCGGAAGTGGATGCATCGCGGTGGCTTGACATTTTCCGGCGCCATCGGTTGTTGAGCATGGCCTATCTGGGTCCACAGCCCGGAATCCTGGACCTCTGGATGTTCGAGGAAAGCGACCGGTCAGTGGAGGAGGCGGGCTGTGCAAAGTTCTGTGGCCAGTTCTGCAAAGCTTGTCAGCTTGCAGGAGGTGGGTCATGTGCAACTGGCAGATCCACAGCGGCAGAGGACGTGAGTGAGCAATGGCTCTGTCCAACCTACAGGTCTACAGTCTGTATTTACATGTAGATTGTCATGAACGACGGAATCTTCCGAGGGTGTACTGCGAAACAGGGGCAGCACAGTTGTTGCGCCTGCGGTGCTGGTGGCTTTCCCGGCTGCTTGATGGTGCGAACTTTCTGTCGTTGTCGCTCCCCGTGAGGATTGGCATCGAACTGTCACCGGGTGACGTCGTGGTCCTCCGCCCCGAACTCCTAGCCCGGAAGTTGCGCGCCCCAGTGGGCTCGCTGGCAATGATGTCTTTGGTGCTGGGAAGGCCGATTCCTGATAGGCTCCGGCTGTGATCTCCAACAGCGTCCTGAGTCCTGTGGAGGAAGACCAGTGCACGGAGAGTGTGGCCTGGACAGGGACGCGCTCCCGCAGCCAAAGCCTTGGATGAGTGGACGCGCCACCGGCTACTGCAGCTGAGCCAGGCCTGCAGATGCCTGCAGCGCACCGCGCGGTGCGCGCCCAGCTTTGGCAACATTCCCGAGCTCAGGAGGATTGCGTTGACCACGAGGTTCCTTTCGCTTGGCGGAAGGACGGGTGTGTTCTGGCGGGAGCACATATGCTGAGGCGCCTCTTTCTGTCAAGTGCATTCAATGCATTGAAGGACCTCCAACGCAGCTTTGACAACGGAAGAATGGTCGCTGTCCGCTCTGCGGCTGGTCGCTTCCCCCGGGCAGGCAGGGGAGCCTTTTGCTTGTGAGTGCAGGGGTTCGCCATGGTTCCTGGACTGTTTGACGCCTTTTGCGGGCATGCTACCGTGTCGTAGTCTCTTTAGCGATCATTGCAGAAGCAGGACACCCTCTAGCCGTTAGCATCCATCGCTTGCAGATACAGTGGATGATTGGTGTCGTACCTCAATCACTGCCGCGGCCGACTACGCCACAGAGGTTCCGTTTCGGCGATGGGACCATTCGGAGGTCGGGCTTGAACCCATCCCGCAAGTAGGATCCACAGAGAGTTCACTGTTTCCATTTGCCGCTAGTTGTTTTTTTCAGGTCTACGATCCAGACGATAGCAGCGTCAAGAAAGCGAAGTCTGCTTGCCGGCATGCTGCCTTCCTGGACGGCGTCGAGCTCTTCCCCAGCCACGCCTTCAAGATGCCAGAGCAGGTTGGGGCCTTGGTGATCCTCAGAGTGGTTTATCGCCACGGGGCCAGCCTTGCCTGTCTCCGCAAGGATGTGCGGCGTTGCGATCCGTACCAGCGATTGTGTGCGGAGGCAGCGTCGTCCGCCCTGCACGGTGCTCCGGCTGCACCGAGAGTGACATCGCCGAAATGGCTCAGGGAATGAAGGCTTCAGGCCAAAGAGCAGAAGATCCCAAGGCGCCTAGGTCGAGCTAGATAGAGCCGCCAGGGGGATTGGGCCATGGTAAATTAGACGCATAGGTTGTCATCGGAAGGCCGTGGCCAATAGCCGCGTGATCGTGGAGCAACAATCAGGTGAAAGTGTGAAGCGGCATGGCCAGCGCAGTGGCGGCCTCTTTGTTGGCTGTCCCTCACTTGCGGACTGGGAGCATGACGGCGACGGCGATCAGGTACAAATCCAAGTCTGAGAACCGAAGCTCTGATTCTGGCTTTGGTGACCTCTGTGCCCAGGCTTTGTTGGCCGGTCGACTCTCGGTGATGCTTGGGCTCAGGGGGCCTTCGGATGCTCTCGCAGAGCCCTCAGGAGCACAGGGTTGGGAATCGCTGCCCGTTGCTGTGTCCGGTCTTTGACCTTTGAGGTGCACTCGGAGGGTGCCGCCGGCTTGGCCGCGGCCTCGCTGGCCGCCACAGCTTTGGAGGTGGGTTTTGGTGCTGCAAGACTGCAAGAGAGTGCTTCGTCGAGTTTGCTGCAGAGGCCGAGCTCGACTTTGCACTGGCGATTGGGGTGCACTTGAGCCTCTCCCCGCGGTTTTGGCTTCTCAGACGAAAGAAGCACCCTCCGCTTTGCCCGATATGCCCAACGTTACCCAATGTTGTCGAGTTCGAGGCTTTGTTGCTGCAGGGCCACGGCAGCCTCGCTCTCCCGGCGTGGGCGCAGCTTGGCTTTCGACACCTCCTGTGACGGCTTTGCGCAAGGCTCAGGAGTGCAGTGACCGGCATGCGCAGTCAGCAACTGCTTCGAGCCGAGGTTCGTGGTGAGGCGTGTTGTGCGTTGATGCTGTGCCGGTTTCAGCTTCCTGTCCGGGTCTCAGCTCGGAATGCTTTTCGACGATTTGTTTGCGGCCTGCGTTGCAAGGAGCCGTCCCAGATGGAAAGCTCGAGACCTACCTGGTGCGTCCCTCGCAGGATCGTGTTGAGTTTCGTTGTCAAGGCCCGCCGGCCGGCTGCATTACCGGCAGTGCCATGGCTGCGAGAGGGCGCAGCACATCTCTTGTGGCGGGCTCAGAGTCGTAATTCTAAGGTGGCCTTGGCATGCAGCATCGCAGCGAATGCAAACCCACTCCTGGAAGCATTCGTCCCAGTTCGAAAGACTAGGAGCAACACACCTGCGAGTCTATTAGAGGATGGGCAGCTGTAGAGGGTTTCCGGGGAGCTTGGAGTTTGAGTATATTGAGATAGCTGCAATAGACCCTGCATCGTAGGTTCGTCCTAGCCAGGCGGGAGGGAAAAAATTAGAGGATGGGGTGACGAAGGGCGGAGGCCAGACCGACACACACCCTCAACACTGATACTCCGAAAGAAGCAGAAAAGCCTCAACAAGCCCTGTCTTGTCCAGCTGACAGAACAAGAAACGAACGGCAAAGGATGCTGCCAAGAACCTGCTGGGAGAATTGGGCCTGAAGTGATCGTTGGGATATGAGAGCACACGGTCATGCTTTGACAAAGTCTTCGGTCGTCGGTCACGACGTGGCGGTTTAGGGTTTAGGGTTTAGGGTCGAGACTGCTCCACTGCTCCGCCGGTCTCGTGAGGCACTGCAGGGGGGAGCCGAGATTCGCCGCACTGTTGCGGAGGCCGCGTGGCTGGAGTTCAAACGGCTGACCCGGCAGAGATCTGGCAGGCCATGTCAGATCTCGAGGACGGCTTTGTGGACATAGCGGAGGTCGACGGCGGCTCGGGCTCAAAACGACCAGTTGCCGCAAATGAGCCGCGAAGCGCTAGAGCTGGAAGGTCTGGGGCCATCAGCCGAAACAATGGAACTGGCCGCGCTGCAGGCATCTCATCGAGGCCGACTTTCCAGGTGTTTGAGGAGGGCGAGGGGCCATGCACCCGCGCGGCCAAGGCCTTTGTGCAGACGCCAGTCCACTACAACTGACCTCGTTGAAGGCGTGAAGGGGGAGGCTTGCACGCGGGGAACTTCGGGGCTCAGATGAATGCCAAGGCGAGCTGCGGTCATCAGGTGCAGTGTGCAGGCTGGATTTTGCGCTGCCTGGCACTCTACATGCGCATCACTGTAGGACTGGCTTGCGTGATGCAGATCTTGGCTGCCATCCGCCTTGGCACCGCAACAGTGGCTGGGATTTTCACGAGTGCAGGAGATATCTGGTCAGCCTTTTCGCACTGCTGCCTTGTGGCTGAGGCACAGCCGCACCTGCGGCAGCTAAATCCCAGTGCCACGCTGGCCGGGCCCAGTCTCAGCCATCTCAGCGTACCTCGGTCAATTTTTAACTGTCGCCCCTGGCGCAGAGGATCGAAACCGACAAGATGGACAAACACTTGCCATGTTGCAGCAATGTGCTTAGCCTGGTGCTCTGGAGCCGGCCTTAGGTGGAGTGTGGGCAGCTCACGGAACCCAACCTCTATGCTGGCATTCTCGGCCGTGGAGGCTCGAATAAAGATATAAAGATAAAGGCACTGTACCACAGACCCCTACAAACACGAAGGGAGCGTGGAACTGGCGACACCGTGTGTGTGCATAGGTGGGACAACAGTGTACACAGTGCTGTGGGGATTTGGTGGCCCTATGGCAAAGGCTCGGTGCTGAGAAACAACGAGCTGGCATGTTCAATCTGTGTCCTGAGAGGATGGCCCTGCGCATCTAAAGCCAGACTTGGTATCCTGGCCAGGGGTCGAGGCCTTGAGACTGAAAGCTTTGGTATGTTCCAACGCAGTGGCACCAGCATCAGCTTGAGCACCATGATCATGCCGGTCATCATCATCGTCAGTGATTGTGAGAAGCCGCAGCATTAGCAGAACCGACAGCAGTACAAGTCGCAGCGCGGCCGATAGCGGCCGCAGCCTGTGAAGATCCTAAACCCGCATATCACCTTCTTCTTACACTTGTCTTCATGTTCTTCGACGCATCGTCGTCCTTTTGTCGGCACCAGCACTTGTTTCCTTGCCCACTGCTTCGCGGTAGCTCTGCCAGGTCGAGGGACAAGCGCCGTCGGTGTACCCACCACTAGAGAAGCAGGCTAGCGGCTAGCGAGTAGCACTCGGGGTTGCGCGATGCTTCGTGATGTTGCCTGGCTTGAGGCAAGCGGGAGCAGCAGCTTGGCATGAAGATTCGGCTCGGCTTACAAGCAGCTCAGTGAAGCATGGCTCAGAACGAGGAGGACCTTCGGGGTGGAGGTTGAGCGCATGTCTGCAGGACCCGATTATTGCCTGATCGGCAGCTGGGACAACTGGACGAGGCGCTTACGGGGAACTCTGCAGCTACGCTTTACGCTTTGGCCAAACGAAAATGCCTCGACCTCGAGAGGTGCCGGGCCATGCGCTGGGATGCCGACTGCTGGCGCGGGCAGCTGCACCTCGGAGGCGAGGCCGCGGCTGGAGCGGGGCCAGCCTAGCCTCGTGCGAGACCTGCATCCGCCAGTATTTCCGCAAGTTTTTTTTTGCAGGGGAGGAAACCTTCCAGATCCTCAAGGACGCATCCTCAAATCTATGACCTCCGATGCAGCACCTTCTCGCAGGATGGGGACCCAGACCAGGCGATCTTCCCGAACTGCCGCAACGCGCGGTTCGGGCGTCCTCGCCCCAGGATTAAGAAGGAGAGTGTCCTTTCCCGTTTTTCGGAGGTGCCTTGTCAGTCCTTGGGCGCACGTCTTTGTTGATGTTTCGAGTGTCCAAGGCTTCCATGTGGTCCAGGCCGGTGAAGCGTCTGCTGCAAGTCTTGCTTGAAGCGACTCGCAGGGACCGGCGCCCAATCCTCACCGCCTTGCTTGGCTGGTCCGGCACGCTGGCACGCTGTATGACTGTAGGGAGCTTCGGACGCCGAATGGCCGAGGTCGGCGAGGATGGCGGCTCAAGCTCCGGCGACTTCGAGGTCTTTCTGAGCTTCAAGGCTCTTCCATCCGCACTGCACTGCTCTTCTGGGCGCAGCTCTGTGTGCTTGGCCAGGGTCGCCGGCCGCTGGTGACGCGAGGGCCCGAACTGAGGGCCTTCAGCCCCGGCATAGCCCTGGCGCTGTTGCTTGAGTGATTCAGGTTACGGAACGTTTCGGTGAGCCGAGACTGAGCCTGGGGCCCGCGGCATGCCGTGCAAGGAAACGCTGTCTTCGGTCCACAGAGGCGTGTGCAGAACATGCCTAGTCTTGAGTGTTGACAGAATGACTGCAGACCTGCAGGCAGGCGTGGCGGCACCCCGGAGAGCATCAGCGCGCATCTGATTCGTTCCCTTCGAGGTGGTGACGTCAGCGTCACCTGGACCGTCGGGACCAAAACCATGGAGCTGCTAGGTAAAGAATGGGTACCCGGTACGGTACTAGCTGTTTCATTGACACTCGATGCCGCAAGAACTTGGCATGGTAATCCCGGTTTCATCTCGGGGTCTGCAGGACTACGCCGAGCCGCCGGGCTCCAGCTGGTTCGATGTTTGGAGGTTTCGGGTGGTGTACGTAGCAGATGGATTGTTCTATTTTTGGGGGCATCTCGGGGACACCAGTTATGCGATTTTTACCACAACCTTGTAAGAGCCCTGCAAAATCTTACTCTGGCCTTACTGGCTCCGTGCGCAATGCCAGGCCCCCATGGTGCGGCTGCGGAGCTGCTGAAGGTGCCACAGAAAGATTCGGGTGCTGGCTACAAGAATACAATTAGATACCATAAAGCGCTAATCAAAGCCCTCAGCCAAGTTCCATAATGCCATCGCGAAAATAAATCCGGCTGTCTGCATAGCTCGGGCTGTAGTTCATGCAAAATACGGCTGCAACGCTGCGAGTGCAATCAGCAGTACTACGATCATACTGGAACTTGTGGGCTCGCTTTCCATCGGATGATTCGCCGACGGGGTGCCAGAAAAGGCGCACGCGGGCGCCAAGCTTGGCAAAGCACAGCAGAGGTCGACATTTCTGCCAACCGTTCTGGGAGTGTTCTGTTTCCACCGCACGGACTTGGTTGCTGTAGAGAAGAGCTTGGACAACAACAAGGGCAGCCCAGCCAGGAGGCTTGGACAAGAACTGCACAGCCTTAAGCCGACCGCCTTGAAAGAAGAGCTTGGGAATATAGCCTCCAAGCTGAAGTGAGCAAAACGCACACCCTTACTTTGGATGGTTGCGGGGCATGGCACCAGCCAGGGTGTGTCCCAACTGGTATCGCCTTGTTTCACATGCGGCTGTCCACGAGCAAAGGCTTGAGCATGTGGTCAGCAAGATCCGCAACAACGCTCCAAGGAAGCAGAAATGACTTGTAGCCATACAGTATTTCACACAGGGTGTTGGCTCTTTTTGTTGCGTGGCGAACACAGCTGCTGTTGTTTTTGCAGGAGGGGGGATAACTGTGCCTACTTCTAGCTTGTCAGAGTCCGCACTATCCTCGACTCACTTCCATGCTTTTGGCAGCTTACCTCGGCGACACGGTGTGGGAGTATCTGGTTCTGCGGCATCAGTACCAGCAGGTGGGCTGCTATGTGGCGATGGGTGCCGGCATCACATGCCCTTTCAGGTGGTCCGAAGTCCCTTCACAGAGAGTCAAGAGGTTGGGTTGCATGTCAGCTGAGGTTGTGGATGAATTGGCTGGATCAGTTTTTCCAAGTCCGAGGTACGGACCATTCGTCAAGGCAGAGCTGCCGTCATGCTACATCGCAGCGGGCGCATCGCTAAGCTTTGCGAAGAGCCACTGCTGCGGGACATGCACTCAAATCCGACTGTGAGAAACACACCTGCAGCCTGCCTTGTGAAGCAACGAGAGCTCCGTGCAGTATGATCTGTACTCAGCAGATGATTTTTCACACAA